GAGGCGCCGTCTTAGCTCGCTGCTGCTGAGGCGGCCTTTGGCGGCTCTGCGATGAGCTAGATCGCTTGGGCAGGAAGTGACGCATAGCCTGTGAATCCTTACGGGCTTCGGTGAAGCGCTCGGCGAACTCCTTCACCGCTGGTCCAAACAGGCCGCTTTGGGAGATAGGCGCGTCGAGAAATGACGCCTTATCTGCATCCTTCATCTCCGTTAGCGTTAGCCACAGATGGCGCTCAAGGACAGTCAGGTTAGCCATAGCACGGCCGATGGATTGGGCGGTGGCTTTTGTAGCTCGCAGTGCTATGTCAGTGGCGCTGCGCAGGTCCTTGAATGCCTCAGGATCGGGTCCAGACTCGTCCATACTGCGGAGAAGTTTAGCTTGGAACACCTGGAGGACAGCCATAGAGTGAAGCGATGATGCAGCTTGGCCGGCGGCGGCGTATGCGCGACCGGCGAGAGCTGAAGTAGACCGGCAAGGCTTCGAGGGATGAAAAGCTTTAGCTTTCCATCCAGCGTTGGAGGGTGGACACAGATGATTGGCCACAGCCTCCTCGAGGAGCGGAGTCCCCTCATAGCCTTTTTCTTTCGCGCCGTCCACAGAGGAGAGCGACAAAGAAAAAGAAGGTTTTAGGCGAGCGGAGTGCGGGGCTTTTCACGACTTCGTGAGTTCGTCGTGAACTTCCGGGAAGAAGGGGGAGGGCCTTTGTCGAGGGGCCTGCCGGCGCCCCTGCAGAAGCCACTCGTCCAGTCGGCTGCGGGCGGGTTCTTCCGGGGAAGACCAATCGAGCCCGAGGTCTTCCACGGCCTTAGAAAGGATGCGGACGATCTCCGAGTCCATGCTGGAGCCCGCGCTCGTGCCCGCTAATGTCGATGGCGCGGGGTCGAAGGACGAACCCGGCCAGTCGTCTGATGCAGCATCACAGGAAAAGCTGTCATCCTTGTCATCGTCATCCCCTGACGCGCCAAACGAGACGAGCCCCATCGCTCCGCTGGAGGGGTGCTGGTCCGCCTGTGTGAACTGGACTGGCGGCGGGGAGTCTTCGGGTGGTGGTGAAGCACGCGGGGATTGGCCCGGCGTGACATCACTGCAAACCGCGTGCTCTGGCGGCCTCTGTGAGCGGCGCTTTTTCTTGCGCGGCTCGACCAGAGGAGATGGCAGCACGGAAGAGGTGGGCTCTTTCGCGGTGAAAACGGCGAAGCGAGCGCGCAGCTCGGTGAGGCCCAGGGCGTCACACTCGGGACATCCGCCTCGAGTAAGGGCAGCCTCTGCGTGGTCCGGTCCCAAGCAGCGGGCGCAAATGATGTGACGATCCCCGTCCTGAAGAGGGCCTCGACACGAGGCGCAGGAAGGCATTTGAAACAACGCCTTGTTAATTTGCTCTTTTAGAAGTGTCGCGGGGGCAAACACTGAAAGCTTTGTAAAAAGGATATGAGATGATGCGCGCCGGATGGCTTAGCAGAAGGCGATCGAAGGCGGCTGAAGGCGCCGGCGTCCTCGAAGCAGTCCTGCTGTAGGCTTGTCGACGGCGGCGGCGAAAAGACTCCAAGAAATCCGGAGGATCCAGCGAAGAGAAGGTCTTTGCTGAAGGAGATTAAATCTAAAGAACTCAGACGACGGGGCGCTCAATATATAGCCCTTGGCCACGCCCATCTTGGCGGGCTCTGACGCGCGCGGGCGCGAAGCACGCTCATTGGAAGCGGGTTCAGAGTCGCCCCGTCATTGGTTCGTGCAGTTGCCGCAGCACAGCCAATGACCGAGCTCCCTCGCTCATTGCTGTATGCTGTGCAGCTGCAATGCGTTTTACATAAAGACTTCAATATTTCTCGAGAAAAGGAGTTTTCCCATAGCGTAAGCTACTTACGCAATAAGAGGAACCTCTCGAAAGGGAAACAATGGAAGTCTGTGTGAAGACTGTGAACCGAAATGGTTTGGTTACCAACATTCCTTTAAAATATCTTATTTTATCATTCCCAGAAGAAGGAAATGCATACAGGTTTTGAACAACATGAGGGTGAGTAAATGATGACAGAATTTTCATTTTTGGGTGAACTATTGCATTAAAAGTGAGATAAAGCATTTGGAGTTATATGCAGTACTTTGCTCTTTAATTATTTGAAATAAATAATAACCTTTCTAATGGCATCTTTCAGGAAAATGTGGCCAAGTGACATTTTCGGCAGCAGCTCCGAGAATGAGATCCAGACTCTGCTCAACATCTATTTCCGGCACCAAACTCTGGGTCAGACAGGAACCTTTGCCCTGGTCGGCTCCAAACAAGACCTGTCTGAGATCTGCAACCGACTCACTGAGCTTAACTGCGAGATCCGAGACATGATTCGAAGGGCGCAGGGCTATCGGGCCATCACTGCCTTCCTCCCTGACTCCAGCGTGACCGGCATCAGCCTTTGAGGCGCACTTTAAGGGATCAGGCCGGCATTGGCTTTCTCTCCACCACTCCTGTCTGAAGATGCTGCTGCCTTCATTGTTCTCCCCTAGCACACGCATTACTGTCCTGCTTAAGAGCTGGCAGGATGTATAGCTTAAATAGCTGGGAAAAATGCAACAGGGGACAGTAAAAAAGTCGACGCCTTGGCTTTTTTGCACTAGTATGTATGTATGGGGCCGCCCCCTGCCTCTGAAATGGGGCCTCTACTACTGCAGGCATCAAATGTATACCAAAGCTCCACGAATGGCTCCTCCTGCCCACATCTACCATTATACATGCTACGGGAAAATGTGCAATGCCTCACACCAAGTGAAACTTTTCATCTTAGAGAGAATGTTTTGTGCTCTCGGCTACTTGATGATACAGAAATGTTCTGTTCTTGTTTTTGTTTAGTTTTTTTCAGATAAAAGCCGAAAGCCGTTGTTAATGTGGCTTTCTAAATGGTTTCGAAAGATCAGACTTTTCACTCCCTGCATCTGCTTTTACCCATACAGATAGAATGTCTCTAACACAATACAATGCTACTGTCAGAGAAAATTGGATGCAAAAAGGGGTCATCCAGCACTTACTGTATTTATGGGGGTGTTTGATTTTACTAATGTCTTTCTACTGTTTAGTTGCTCCTAGTAGATTTATTTATATTCTCAAAAGAAAGATCATCATGCTTTGATTATCATAAAATGGTATAGTTTTATAGGATAGAATTATGTCTATTCTGTCTATTGAAATGGCCAAGCATGCAAAGGTATGTACCATAAGACAAAATAGAGATATTTATGGAATAAAAAATATTTTAAATGAAAGATACATTTGTACATAGTAGTGGGAGTGTAGCCCATACTTGTAAGATTTTATTTTTATGATTTTATTTTGCTGTCTGCTGTATGAAAGTGTGCATGCAATAAATAGAACAATAAATAATATTAATTAATATCTGCTCAGTCATGGAGTGTTTGTATTTATTTAAATACTTATTGAATACATTCAAATGATACAAATCTAAATTTAATTAAGAACATAGTCACAGTTCTTAAATTTAGTTTTGAATTATTTGAATACATCTCAAAAACTTAATGAGAGTGATTGAGTGTCCATGCTTTTATGATCATCTACGTGTTTGTTTGTTTGTTTTAAATTCTGGAATGAATTACAAAATGTTTAACATATTTTCTACAAAAGGGAATCTTAAATGGCAGGATCAGAACTGAATTCTAGCAATGCATTATTATTCATTTATTTTCTATGGTTGTGCGCCCTCTGGTGTTACCAGAATGGAAATTATAAAGACACTCAAGATCAAAAGTTTTTTTTTTTTTTTTGCCAGTTGTGGAACAGCAAACAACCGTGCTTTTTGACAGTGACTTGACAAGTTCCACGACTATGTCAATTTTGGTGGCCCAAGACTGCATTACAGAGACAATTAACATTGTTTTATATGTGTTTGATCCATTGTTATCTTACATTAAAATTAAACTAGCATTAAATTCAACAAACTCTGGTAAATTACTTTATTTTTTTTTTGTTAGAATAAAATATTTTTTGGAATAAGCTGTAAGTATTAAGAAGTAACAAGTAAAATAACAGGTGATAATAAAATATTAATCTGTAAAGAGGTATACTGTACATGTGCTGCAAATGAGAATAAAAAACAAGTTTGACGTTTACTTAGTGTGAATGGTCTTGCTGACTATAAACTACCAATATATTTTAAGCAAGCACTGTCCAAAAATATGAACACTCATTTCCATACTTTTTAAATTAAATGCCAGTCACATTACAAACAATGAACATGACAATAGTCGTATCCAACATATAGTATGAAAAATATTTAACAAATATTGACTACAAAAAATATAAAAAGGAAATATACAGCAGAATATATAAAATAATAATACAAGTAAAAGAAAGAAAGAAAATAATATAAACAGAAAAGGGAACAGGGATGAGATCATCATACAAATAGCGTAAAAGCTTCACGTTTTGCTTTACTATTTTTCAACCCAAGTAGTAACTCAATATAGTTTTTCATATCTATCTGAAATAACACAAAGTTGACTCATTTCCATCTTTAATATACTTATAAAATACACAAGCACGTAAGCTCGCCCCTGAACTCAGGCGCGCGTTCTGATTGGTCGAGACAACTGCTCTTCCGTTGACGACACTGCGCTTATTGGCGGGATGTGTTAAACCAGCGTTATGCACGCGCAGAATAAACAGATCCCCTCAGAAGACTTCAGGGAATAAAATATTTTCGATCGGCGATGAAGAAGACATTTCCAGGAATATCGAGAAGTCAAAAGTTTCAAAAAGCTTTTATTTGGGACAACATGTTCATTTACGGTCGTAAGTTATAGAACTTCCAGTTCTGTTTCCTGTTGATTGTAGCTAGCGTTGTAAACATAGTAATATCATGAGATAGAACTGCTACTTTTAGTGACAAACTGTTACTTGAGAACTAAGTTACGTAATATAAAAGTCAGAGACACTGATGCTAGAGATACATGTTACATTCAATTACGTTTTTAAGTGTGTTTCTTTGTTTATCTGTAGGTCCAGTGACAATATTATTGTGCTTGGTTCAGATTTAACCCCATCACACTCATGGCAGCATGTTTGAAAATTTCTATCATCAAATTGACAAAGGTAGACACTTCAATAATATGAATACGTATAATATATTATTATGATTATTACTAGTGTTATTATAACTATAGTCATATTATTTTTAAATGATTGACTCTGGTTTATTGGGAATTAAGAGCTTGGACCCCTCAATCCAGACTGGTTTGAGGAGTTGACTGCAAAAGCTTCCAGAGATGAAGGACGTCCTGACAGTTTGAAAGCTGAGTGGGAAGAGGACACTGTCAAAGCACCAGAGACATCAGCCCTGGCCAGTCAGCTGAATTCTACACCCAAAATATTTAAGCAACAACACTTTCAGTCCCCTGATTCCATTCCTAATGAAGAGTCACCTTATGAAGGTATCGTAATTGCAGTGTTATGTATGACGTATGTGTATATAAAGGACATAGCCATGTACTGTACAATTGTTTTCTTTCCACCCTGTGACTAATGCAGACTTATCAGCTTTTCCCTGGTCAGAATCGAGCCCTTGTTTGTTTGGCTCAGCCAAAGACAGGTAATTATGTTTATGAGTTCTATGAATTTTATGTAAAATATGAAAGTCAAGCAGACGGTTAAATGTAAGTTTCTCTCCTTTCCTTTATGGTCACAGATTTGATAGATCCTGTGAAAAACCTAGAGATTGCTTTGGTAAGAAAGTTTTAGATTATCTTTCCTCTTTTCTTTAAAAGTAAAACAAAAAATAAGCCTGTCCTAATATTAAATATTGTACTTTATTTGTTAATTATTTCCATATGTGACATCACAGGCCTTCTGGAGACACCAAAAAGGTCTTTGGTAAGTCAACACAAAATCACAAAACTGGTCATATCATATTTACTTTCTTAATTCATGTTATTGGTCATGCTTTTCATGGCATGCATGTTTATCTAATGAAAAAAAAAATGCCTTTCATCAAAATGTTAAAACTTTCATTTTGGCTGGTTCACCAAGCCCTCTTTTTTTTCTTCTTCTTTCAAACCCTCCTCTTCAACCACCCATTTTAGGAACGTGTCACATTACAGAAAAAAATAAAGAAAACTGGTTGCGAACACAGTTTCACATTGACTTCAGAAGGCATTCTAGACATGATTCATGATGTTGAGTTTGATCTCTTCCAGGCACGTTCAGCAAAGCTGATATCTGAGAGCCTTGGGGCACAAATCAACCCTGACTTATCTTGGACCAGCTCCTTTAACACACCATCATCTTTGACTCCCACCGTGATATTGCGTATGTATGAATATTCTTTAGAAGTGAATAATTTATGGTTTACAATTAAAAACACTAGATCATAATGTCGAATTTCTCCACATTATTTCCACACTGTTAATCCACAGCTGTAATTTAATAACTTTTTATTAATACTTACTGTTGAATATGTTTCACCTTTATTAGGCTTCAACAAGAAGATGAGATCGCACACATAATAGTAGAAGATTTCTTACCAAAAAATACATTATTTCGAGTCCAAATGAGCTCCTCTTCTTGTTGAACCTTGATATGTTTTTGAGCTTACGCATCAAAGTATCTACAAACGTTTTCAGTATTTGCCGCAGATGTTCTACAGCTTCTCGGCTGTTTTTTACCTTTATAAGGTTGTCAGGGATAATATAAATTTATTTCAAAAGTCCTACATTAGAATGATACAATTGGCAACAACATATATTTTGAAATAAGTTAAAAACCTTATATATATATTGATCAAATGACGAGTGAAAAGGTAATCAATGCTTCAGATACTTTGAAAATTTTTAAAGATTCAATTCTGTCACACAAATTTTGTTTGACAACTGGTGTAACATCTTGTAACAACTAGGTCAAATCTTGTATGGTATGTTAGATATATTGTCACTATATCATGTTTGTGATTTGAAGAAATATGTTACAATTACACCCTGGTCTCCTGATCAGGTATGAGCTACTCCGAATGAGCTATTCTTCTTTTGCTTTAGCAAAAACAGAGGATCGCCGTCCTTCATCAAGTGGCCTCAAAGACAAGGAAGCAATTGTAAGTGCAAATCTGAAGTTCTGAAGTTCTATGGCTGTAATTGTGTTTTTGCTTTTTGTATTATGGTTCCTAATATTCTGAGATTCTGCTTTTACCTACATAGAATTACCTGATGGCTGATGGCTTGTTTTCATTCCCTTATTCACACTAGTTTGTGCGGAAACTGTTCCCATCTCTTTCAAAAGTCTCTGCAAGCACTGCATCATTAAATGATACAACATTAAAACAAGATGGTGAGTGAGACACTGTATTATTGTTTTTGTTTTTTATTGTGAAATGCATACACATACCAGTAACTCTGATTAGAAAATAATTGGGATTATTTTGTACTTTTCTCTTCAATGATAGCCAAAAGTGAGACTATTCAGGTTGATGACTTGGGAGAAAATCCTGTTTGCTCTTCAAATGCATCTCTGGATACAAGTGGTCTGTGGAAGCAGACTGTTCCCAGCGCTATAGAGGATGGGGATGTCCGGACCACAGTGCAGAATGTTCTTGATGGTGCTGAGGATGCGTTATCAATATTCTTCAGCAACAGTACTTCAACTCTGCGGAGAATCAAAACCAAAGAGAGGATCAGAAGGAGAATATCTGATTCTTCAAAGGATGTCAAATCGGTTGTTCTAACTACAGAGCCAGAAGAGATATTAAAGGCTGATGTAGAAACAAAAAGCCTAAACAATATTAAAGACATCATTCAATGGACCCCACTAAGTTTATCAGAATCTATTCTATTGAATGGAGACGGAGACTGTTCGGGGGCGTCTTTGATAAACAATCACAACACTGTAGCATCCAGTGAAACTAATGGTTTTACTGTTTTCAACTGCACTGGAGAAAGTAGCCAAACTTTTTCACAGAGTGTAAGACTCAGATCTTATCCAGAAGAATCTGAGCGTCAGAAGACTTCACCTGCTTTCATGAAATCACCTGCTTTCATGCTCACTAGAAAGTCCAGGAAGTTTGTGTATCAAGTGCCAAGTTCCGATTTGTCAAAGACTGTAATTGAGCACAATGCAGCTCTACCAGTATGTTCGGACCATACTGACAAAGGTAAGATTGTTCTTGTATTAAATTCTCTTACAAATTTTGTGTGTGTAGTACTGTGTACATATTATTAGGGCTGGTCCGAATACCATTTTTTGAGCTTCGAAGCTTCGGTAGTAATGAACATCGAATATTCGAAGCTTCGGAATCTCTATCTGTCTGTCCATTTGCATTTTGATTATTTCGAGAACCGTTCATCCAAACGACTTCACAAGGAGTGCAGTGTCGTATTTGGTGCAATATAGATATAGACAGGCGAGACGCGACACGTTCAGAATTAATAAACTTTTAATAAACTACAGAACAGTGCAAGCGGGAAGCGCGCGGGCCTCACGCGAGCAGAGCTTATATGCTCCGAGAACGGACACTGCTAGTGATATAAAACACACACAGGTCTGTTAACTTAAGCAATATTTTTAATAAGGTAGTCTAATATCTTTCTCACTAACAAATTACTGACCACGTAGCGTAGATTTAAATAAAGAAGCGGCGCGCCTCACGCGAGCAGGGCTTACATGCTCCGAGAACGGACACTGCACGCACTATATAAAACACAAACAGGTCTGTTAACTTAAGCAATATTTTTAATAAGCCTTCTATAATTTTTCTCACTAACAAATTACTGACAAAGTAGGGTAGATTTAAATAAAGAAGCGGCGCGCCTCACGCGAGCAGGGCTTATATGTTCCGAGAATGGACACTATAAAACACACACACGAGGTCTTTTAACTTAAGCAATATTTTTAATAAGGTATAGTCTTATAATATTCTCACTGACAAAGTCGGGTAGATTTAAATAAATAAAAAAGAAATTTAAATAAAGACAAACGAAAAATAAATGAACGAACTGTAATAGCCTAAATAAAGAACACGGTAGCAATAACAATTTCAATAACAACATCACAAATTTCTATTAATATTTTGCAGTAGATTAATTTAGATTGATAATAACGGGTAAAAAGGAAAATACATTTTGTTTCTATTATTCTATTTTCCACAATGTCAAAGCAACGCAGCTTAACCCAAAACACAAGCTCATCAGGCATGCACTTCTGCCCATACAAACTCCGCTGTTCTGCGCTCTAGCCTGAGAATACACCCATTGCAGGAACACTTTTAGTAGTCCAAGAAGAAGCAAATATATTTATTAAGTAGCTATTAGGGCTGCACGATTTGGGGAAAATGTCATATTGCGATTAATGAGGTCAATATTGCGATTGCGATATGCGATTGCGATATAATAAACAAATGGTTTCATGAGTCAACTTGCTTGGTTCTAAAGTAAAATGCACACACAGATTAGTGATCATTCTGTGTATTAATGTGTATTTCTCAACTCAAACTAGCAACAACAACTAAATGATTGATAACACCTATAATGATCAATAAGCCATTGATGTAAAAATGACGACACCCCCCACATTTTAAACGTTAATTATAGCCATCCAACATTACAGTGATTCCATCAATATAATTGAAAGCTATCAACTTTTAAAATATTTATTAGGCTTAAAAAAAATAACAGCTTTTAAATTAAGTGAACTTCAAACAATCCTCACATAAACCCATAATAAATTCCATATTTACCTGTGCCCTTCCTGTCTTAACAAGTAGGATTGAGGATTTATATACAGATTTATATACATAAATTGAATAAAGTTATCAAACAGTCTGCGCTGCATGAATTATAAATTATATATAGACTAATCCTTATTAAAGCTACAAAACTTCTTTAGTCAAGAGCAGTGAGTAATTTTCTGTTCCCTTTGTTCTTTGATTAACTTTACTGACGGAACGCTTTATTCGCTGCTGGCCCTTTGAGAGCAGCCGTTGCTGACAGAGACGCGTATCTCACACGCGCCTCATTCTCTCACAAGCACAACTCTTTTCGTCCATCATAAGACTGCTCTTATGTTATGAAGATAATCGACAAAACGACATTTTGGCATAATTGTGTGTTATTGTTCGTTCAAGCTCGAAAGAGAACTGTATTCTGGCATGCGGTCTGTGCATGCGCATTATACGGGCGCGCGTTATTCTGTGAGTCACATTCAGGACATTCACAGGCAGCGCGCTCTCTTTTGACTTCTTTTCGTGCAAAATGGTTTTTAGGCATTTGCACGAATAAGAGCGGGATCATGTAACACTAAAGGATGACAAAAAAGAAGAGATGCGGTGTTAATAGCCCTAATTTGTTTATTTCATATAAAATCGCGGCATTTTGCGTTATATAATCGCATAGGTTTGACATCGTGATTACGATTGCGATACGATTAATCGTGCAGCACTAGTAGCTATAACGAAGTTATATGTTAAGTATTATATTTCACCAGATTTTATAGTGTAAAACATATTCAAGCGCGAATGAGAACCGTTTCGAGGGGGTTGCCAGGTGTGCAAAAAACACAAAAAAACCCGAATATTCGAATGTCACATTTTCAAATCGAATACCAACCCACCGAACGAATATTCGAATATTTGGGTCCAGCCCTACATATTATTGAACGGCTTTTTCACTTTGCTTTTTACAGAAAATTCCTCAGTTGAAAAGGAGTCTAGTGACCTTAACAAATCCAGATTCGCCAGTGAGTATGCAATCAATAATCAGACACAGCTGCAAGCCGTCGAACCGTTATCTACAGAACCCCATGATTTCGACCCCGGATTGGATATGACACAGCTTTCCAAAGCATTTGCAGAGGATTTCACACAAGAAATAAGGCCTGGATTGCTGCTTGACGTGCCTGTGAAGAGTGACCAAAATGGCCAAGTGCAACCTAAAGCTGAGTTTGAGGAGAACAAAGTTGGGAATCACAATGACATCTCTAATTTAGCAGAAATGTCTGTCAACTCCCCAAACAAGTCAACGGTCATGCTCACAACTTTTGATATCAGTCATGACAGTGGTTGCCCCACCACCTTTTCAGATTTGGATGGTACGACAGCCTCATGCGCAGACATCAAGGAGTTTTGTCCTACATTTCAAACTGCAAACAACAAGGCCATTTTCGTACCAAGTGAGGCTGTAATGAAGGCTAAAGCATCATTGGATGAAGCTGCAGGGGACGGTTTGAGCATCACTTTAAATCAAACAACTCCAAAACATTATCAAACAATTGAAACATTGTGCAACTCCGTTTCAGGAAGCACTAATGCAACCAGATCTCCTGTAGGACAGTTCATCTTCCCTAACCATGCATCAATAACGTGTGTTAGTGATGCGCCAAAAAGTGACAGTCCAAATAGCTTTAAAATGAACATTTCAAGTTACTCTTCACCACAGTCAAATGAATCTGATTATAAAATGGGTTCAAAGAGGAATAGTACAGCTTTAGATGTTAGCCTTCAAACAGAGACTCTTTTGAAAGAGAAATTGTGGAGAGATTCATCAAAGTGCGTTAATCAAAAACTGGATTTTAAAAGAAGTGCTAAAAGACAGACTGTGTCCAACATTAACAGCACACACAAACCCACTGCAGTGGACTCCAGCCGTGATGATGTTGAGAAGAATGGCACTTTGACAGCTTCTCAAAAGGCTGATGTTACAGAATTGTGCAATCTTTTGGAGGAAGCAAATAGTCAACATGAATTTACCCAGTTCAAACCGACAAATCTTGGCTCTGAGAACAACACCACTGCAGAGAGAGAGTGGGATCCTGACATAGTCAACGGCATCGACTTTGATGATAGTTTTAACTGTGATTTTATGAAAGGAAAGCATCCAGTCAAGAAAGACGCTTCTTTGGTAAACAGTTCTGGTCATATTCAAATTGTAGATGCTGCCAAATTATGCACCATGTCAAAGGAAACACGGAATGGTACTGTGCCTTTGTCAGTGACTGAAGACAATTCTTTAGTTGATGGATTGAAGAATGTGTCTAATTTTACTGATAATACTCAGTTCCACTGCCTTGGTTTTAAAACTGCTGAAGGGAAACTTATAAGCATCTCAGAAAAGAGTTTAAACAAAGCAAATAACTTTTTTGAAGAGGATGATCAAGAAGTCAAATCTGAGTATTCTGAAACAAAGCTTTCAGCCAATACTTCTGACAGTGTAAGCACAGAAAATAAAACCCACAATGTAAAAAATTCACATTTCGGCTGTGTATATGTAAATGCAGCTTGTAAAGAGATAAATGAGCAAGTGGCAGTAAAAGCAGGAATGGAGCAGAATTGTTTAGGTGAAAAAACAGGTGTTGTTTGTGTTGACTCGTATAGTCATCTTGGATTTATTACAGCTAAGGGAGCGAAGCTGAAAGTGTCTGAAAAGGCGCTTTTGCAAGCAAGAAAACTTAACGATGTTGACAGCTTTGAGTCGCAAACTTGCGTACTCGCTCTCCACGCTTCTGGAAAACACGATGCCTCTATGTCAACGACTAGCCTTCAGAAAACAAAAGCTGTTTCTTGGAGTGAACCCTCTATAAAAATGAATCAGCCAGACTCCGTGGTGGTAAATCAAATATCTGATGTTCCGGATATTCCTTCCTTCAGCAGTGAGAATGTCTTCCAAGAACAAAAATCTAGCAATGATGCTAAAGAAGTTTGTGCAAATATATTTCCCTCAGAAACTTTTGTGCCTCAGTCAGGGCAAGGCTATGGTTTTCAGACCGCCAGTGGGAAAGCAGTTTCTGTTTCAGCCAGCACCCTTAAGAAGGCAAAGGGCATATTCAAAGACTGTGATTTAAATATTAACAGCTTGGAATCTGCAAATATGGAGGGAAAGAATGACAAACCAGTTGAAATCATTGAACAAACAAATGCATCCATTTCAAATTGTAAAAGTGTTTCATTTTCAAATGTGGTGAAGGCCAAAACTTTTCTCAGGGACACTGATCTGATTAATGACTTCTCATTGCAGTCCTCTTTGCAACCCTCTCACCAGCAACCCCCTCAGGACAAAGTATGTGAGAAAAAAGGCATTCAAAATGAATTCTCTAAGCATCACTCTGAGTTGCTTCCTCTTAACGGCAACTGTGGTTTCAGTACAGCCAGTGGTAAGAAGGTATCCATCTCAGCTGGAGCACTACAGAGAGCTAAGGATGTATTTTCTGAGTCAGTTGATGGTATCGAATGTGTTAATAGTTCTCCAAAGACAAAGCAGGCTGTCGATAACAAAACAGACTATATTTCCTCAAGAGAACACAAAGGATTCTGTACAGCAGGTGGGATGAAGGTGGCTGTCTCTGCTACTGGGCTACAAAGGGCAAAGTATATCTTCAGAGATTGTGAAGAGGAGAGTTTATCATCCAAAGATCTTCAGTACCAAAACTGTAGAGGTTTCAGCAATGTCTCAGAAAAGACACAGATTAAGGTAAAACCGGCATTTGCAGGTTCCAGTGACGTCCCTTTCAGCCATGAGCCTGAAACTGGGAATTCTTCAGGAAAACCGGTAGGATTCTCTACAGCAGGTGGAAAGAAGGTGGACATTTCTGCCACTGCACTTCAGAGGGCCAAGAGTCTGTTTAACGATTGTGAAGAGGAGGTAGCTTCTGTGAGTTTTCAGCACCAAGCCTGTAAAGGTTTCAGCACTGCCAGTGGCAAAGATGTTACTGTCTCTGAAAAAGCACTGAGGGAGGTTAGAGCAGCATTTGCAGGTTGTGAGGATGCCTCGTTCAGTCATGAGCCTAAAAATTCTTCAGGAAACAATGTAGGATTCTCTACAGCAGGTGGGAAGAAGGTGGCCATCTCTGCCAATGGACTTCAGAAGGCTAAGAGTCTCTTTAACGATTGTGAAGAGGAGAATTTAGCTTCTGGGAGTCTTCAGCACCAAGGCTGTAAAGGTTTCAGCACTGCCAGTGGCAAAGATGTTACTGTCTCTGAAAATGCACTGAGGGAGGTTAGAGCGGCATTTGCAGGTTGTGAGGATGCCTTGTACAGTCATGAGCCTAAAAACTCTTCAGGAAACAATGTTGGATTCTCTACAGCAGGTGGGAAGAAGGTGGCCATCTCTGCTACTGCACTTCACAGGGCCAAAAGTCTCTTTAACGATTGTGAAGAGGAAAATGTCGCATCTATGGAACTTTCATCAGAAAAAGTCCTGCCTCAGACTAAGAGTTCTCATAGAAAAAGTGAGGACATTGTGGATGAAAACCTAAAGTTTGAACAACTAAAAAAGAAAAACTGTGGTTTCAGCACTGCTAGTGGTAAAGGTGTGTCTGTATCAAAAGTTGCCCTTGAGGAAGCTTCTAAATTATTCGGAGACTGTGATGCCCAAGTAACGGCTACTGATAACCAACTGCTACAGAGTGATTTCTCAAAACACTGTACTCAACATAAAGAGAGACGATCCGAAACCACTCTACATCCTTTGCCATCTAAAGTTACTCAAAATATACCTGCACAACTAGACTTGAACTCTTTGGATTTTAACAGTTGCACAGACACCCAGCAGGAGTACTTTGAGCAGGAAGCGATGGCTTGCACTGAAGCTTTACTGGCAGATGATGACCTGAATGATTCGGCCAAGTTGGTGATGTCAGAGGGCACTGATTACCAAAAACGTCTATCTATTTATGATCGACAGACACAGGGGTCTTTTGACCTGAACAGGAGGAGAAAACGTCAGTTTGATTCCTGCAGTATAGCAGGTATGGCTCGGTTTTATTATGTTATTATTCATACAACTGTATGAATCAATACATTTGATATTTTAACCTCTCATTATGTTAAATACTTTGTTTAGATTCAGGGCAGCCTCCTTTGAAAAGACAACTTCTCTCTGAATTTGACCAGACTTTAGATGCAAAATCCTCTGGCCTCAAACCACTAAAAAGCTGTCCGAATGGTTAGTTTTTCTTTTTTTGATAGATATATTACTTCTGTTTATTTTATGATAAAGAACTATCTAACTTGTATATCTTCTTCATAAATTCCCTTTTACAGGAACTCTAAAAGACAGACGTGTCTTCAAATATAATGTCCTCCTCAAGCCGAATGTCACTGCTCCCGATTGGTAGGTTGTATGTTTTACTGGTTTTAGAGTTAAGTATTCAGAGTATTCAGACATCTTTAATTCTTACAAATTTTCTTTTATATATGCAGGCATCATGTTGGCGAAAAGTCAAATGACCTCGAAAAACATTGTTCTACTGTGTCTGTCCAAAACCGACGCAACTCAGACACCAAAGGAGGGGTGTTTGTGTCCCCTATTCAGGAGGTTATGATGACTGGTACATCAAACTGTCAAAATGTCTCTAAAGTGTCCAGTGGTTTTATGCCACCTTTCAAGAAGGAAAACAAAGAAAAAACTGATCATTGCAATCAGATGGACCAAAAGATGAAGGCTTCTACATCACATAGTGACAGTGACCTACATGAGGGTTTTAAGCCTAAATCAACCACTTCAGTGGAAAGCGTAGTGAAAATCATGAACTCTGAAGAGAAAGGTATGCATTTACTGTCTCTTCTAATTTTATCTTTTTAATATATCTCTCCAAATAAATGTCTCATAATCTTAGGGTATTTGTACGGCAGTGTCCAAAACAAATGTAGAGATAGAAATGAATCATTTTAATACAGCAATACTTTTTTTCTTGGGATGTTAATAGACCCTGAGGTAGGGCAGGAGACCTTGAACCTAGCCAGGGATATGCAAGACATGAGGCTAAGAAAGAAGAAAAGGCAGACTATTCGTCCTCTACCTGGCAGCCTTTACCTTGCTAAGACTTCTGGTGTCCCCAGAATAGGTTTGAGATTTGCAGTTGGATGCAAATGTCCTGGTCAATACACAAAGGAAGAGGTACATTTTTCGATACTGTTGTGCTAATTATTTTACTGTTTTTAAGGCATTGAAAAATTACACTTTGTACTTTTTTTCCCCTCTGTCCATCTTAGCTTTATCAGCATGGTGTTCATCAGAAAGTCTCAAAAATAACCAGTGAAAATGCTGAATCATTCCGATTTGACTGTAATGACTTCTTCAAACGTGAGCTTCTCATTGAGTCTGGTGCTGTCCAGCTGGCAGATGGAGGCTGGTTGGTTCCAGACAGTAAGGGTACTGTGGGCAGAGACGAATTTTATAGGTAAACACATTATATGCTGATGCATATGGTGCATTTAACACTTATCATTACAAATAATAGCTTGTGGTCTTACAACGGCACAATGAAATCTACATACTAAAAGGCACTGTTATCTTGCACAACAACATTGTTCATTGAAGTAGTTTGTGTACCATTTAGTACCTTTTTTTTTGGCAGTGCATTGTGTGACACCCCTGGTGTTGACCCCAAACTGATCAGTGATGCCTGGGTGTTCAACCACTACCGATGGATTGTATGGAAAGGGGCCTCCATGGAAAGATCCTTTCCCGTTTTGATGGGTAGCCTGTGTTTGACTCCAGAGCAAGTACTTCTGCAGCTGAAATTCAGGTATTGAATCTTTGTAAAGCTCATATTTTTGAACCCAAAAATGAAACCATTGTAACTGTTTAATATTTGCACTTAGATATGATGTGGAGGTGGATCACAGTCAGAGATCTGCTCTTAGGAGGATCATGGAGAGGGACGACACTCCAGCTAAGACATTAGTGCTTTGTGTATGTGGTGTTGCTAAAACTTGTCAAAATCCAGAGAAGCCAGTGAAAGATGAAAAAACACCCAATGCAAAGATGGAGTCCTGTGTGATCTGGCTCACAGACGGCTGGTACGCCATCAAAGGCATGTTGGACCCTCCGCTTTCTGCCATGCTGAACAAGGGCCGTCTCCGAATCGGTGATAAGATTGTTACTAGTGGAGCAGAGTTGGTTGGTTCCCAAGAAGCCTGTTCTCCACTGGAAGCTCCTGAATCTCTGAGGCTAAAGGTAAAGTTTGAGTTCAACAACGATGATCCATGTGATATACATCCTGTCAGACTTTGTTTGATTTGTCATTTTTTAATTTCAGATTTCAGCCAACAGCACAAGACGAGCTCGATGGGACACTAAGTTGGGGTATTATCGTGACCCTCGGCCTATCAGGCTCCAGCTATCCTCAATGTACCCTGCTGGCGGTGTTGTGAGCTGTGTGAACATTGTGGTGTTGAGAAGTTACCCCACTCAGGTCTGCTCCAACTCAACAGCTCTGAATGAGACATTATCATCTGTAAAGGTTGAGTGCATAATTTTGCTTATGAACCAAACAATTGATTGACTTTCTCATCAAACAGTGGATGGAGAAGAAGCCCAACGGTGTCTTTATATTTCGCAACGATCGTGCTGAAGAGCGAGAAGCCAGAAAACACAGCAACTCAAAGCACAAATCCATGGATCTCGTTATTTCTAAAATACAGACCCAGTTCGAAAAAGAAATGGAAGGTAGGGGTTCATTATATTTACTTGAATTTTTAGACATTAAACTTTATCTGGAGGTTTGTATGTAAGAACTTTTGATGAGTGTTTTTCCTCCATGTAAAAGGTAATAAGAAAGGTCGAAGGCAAAGGAGGACATTTAGTCGACATGAGATTGAAGCTCTGCAGGATGGGGAAGAGTTGCATGAGGCAATGGAACAGGATCCTGCTGTTGAGGTGAAGTTTAGTTAATTTTAGTGCATTATACCGATGCATATTTTTTTGACATTAGAAAGTAAACAAACAAAGAAACAACAAATAAATTGGCATTGTGTCAAACCATGGATCCTTTTAATAAAAGATAATTGATTTAACTCTATTGAGTAGACCCATGTAAGTGAGAGGCAGATGGAGGCGGTGAGTAAGTACAGACGCTGTCTAGAGGAAAGAAGTCAGGCGGAGCTGCAGGAGCGTGTGCAGAAGGCTGTATTGGAAGCCCAAGAGGCTGAGGGTGGGTGTCCCAATCGAGATGTCACTCCTGTTTGGAAGCTCAGCATTACCGACGCCAATGACCTGCAGAACGACCGTGGTGAGCCAAATGGATATCCTCTTTACTCTTTGGTTAGATGTTGTAGTAGCCATTTTAACCTGTTATGGCTGGGTGCCATACATTTCCTAGTTTACACGCTGAATATCTGGCGCCCGTCGCGGGACTTGTATGGCTTGCTAAGAGAGGGCCACAGATACAGGGCGTATCACCTCGCCACATCTGAGGGGAAGAAACGCTCAGGCATTGCTCACATACAACTCACTGCCACCAAGAAAACACTCTTTCAGGATATTGAGGTAAACTAAGTGTTGAACAACTTTGTTCTCACCACAGGCTGATTACTTTCTCTTTAATGATTACATCTGAAATGGTCTTACAAAAAATCTGTTTGATGCAGGTGTCTCCGGAATGGGTGCATCAGCATTTCCGTGCTCGAGAGTGCGTACGCTTCAGAGAACTTCAAAACTCTCAATTCAGCTCTCCTTGTGGGGAGGTGGACATTGTGGGATATATTGTCTCCATAGTGGGCAAACAAGGTTAGTTGCATTAATTTGCATTAAAACGTCTGTCATCTTGTGTAAAAGCTGTTTTTGTTTCCTCAAACTATGTTTCATCAATCCTTAATATTTTCAGACACATTTTGACTGTTTAAATGTCTTCTCAGGAAATTGCCCGGTACTGCATCTTGTGGATGAGAACTTCGATCTGGTCTCTGTGAGAACCTACAGTAGTCTGGAGCAAGTGGCTGTAGAAGAGCTGGTAAAGCCGCGAGCACTGATTGCTCTTAGTAATCTTCAGGTGAGACTGCTCTCTGGACCTGTGCCAAGCCTTTGTGCAGGAGAACAAGCACTATTCTCCGTAAACCCCAAGGAATCCCATCTGCAAGAAGCTATGGCCCATCTGAAGACTTTTGCACAGGTTAATGAATCAGCTTTTAAACTTTTGTATTTAAGTACATGCAGTATCAAAGAGTGATTCCTCATGTCTTTTATTTTTGCTGATTAGACTTGTTGCTTTTTTACACAGACTTGTGAGGAGTTTTTCAGCATTGCGGAGGAGAAAGTCTCAGATGTGGTTCCTTCAGGTGTCTTGGATTGTTTTCAGTCTCCAAGAACCCCTAGTGTGCAGTCTTATCCAAAAATTAACGGCAGGGTTAGTATTCATTTCTTTTTATGTGGTGAAGTATTGGTTTTATTAGTGGTGCTCGTTAAGGCAAGCTTCACTATAATTATTACTTTGTTCCACACTGTTTGTTCTGTAGACATGAAAGCTCCTACATCTTCAAAAAATGTAGTTGTAACTGTTGTCAATTACTAATAAAAAAATATTAATAAATTAATATTATAATTTACATTAACCATGTTATAATTATTATAATAATCATTAATAGTTAACATTATTAGTGTTTTACTAGTGTAATAGTATATTATTAGTTTTTTTGTTTTTTTTTACGATTGCGGTTTACACAAAAACAAAATGTTTTCAACATTGATAATACTAAACCATTTCTTGAGAAGCAAATCAGGATATTAGAATTATTCTGACAGATCATGTGAACACTGACATCTGAAGTAATGCTATAAACAATTCTGCTTTACCTTCACGGGAATAAATTACATTTTAAAATCTATTAAAATAGAAAGGTTATTTTAAATGTAAATAACACTTTACAATATTGCTGTTTTATCTGTATTTTGATCAAATAAATGCAGCCTTGGTGAGCATAATCATAATAGACTTAAATCTTTTTAAGTTTTTTAATGGCCAATATTTATAAATGCACTCATGTATGTTCATTAGATGCAAAAAATCTATTATGCCCTGTGTTGAAATTCCCAGGTAACCCCGCAGCAGAAAAGCAGCGGTTTCTCGCCTTTCACCCCATTGAATAGAAGAACACCTGTGTCTGCAAGTTACAGTGAGGGAAAAGACCCCAAAAACTTGAAAAGAAGACAAGGTTTGGACTACTTATCACGTATCCCGTCCCCTCCACCAATCATCCCCCTGAAAACTAGAGCTTCTCCCTGTGTTAGCAACACCTTTAATCCTCCAAGGAGATCTGTGACTCCTAAACCTCCACAGAATGAGTCACCTCGAGCCTCGCGTCCCCCACCGGGAGAGGAGGAGTGGGTGCATGATGAAGAGCTGGTGATGATTGACACCCAGGCGTTACTGGATGGGCTAAGGGAAGGCTGATGGGAAAAGTGTGACTCTCCTGGTGAAACACTAAATGTGAGTTAAGACACAAGAACAATTCCAGCATTCAAGTGGTTGAGAACTATGGGTAATGCAAGTACTGTTCACACTGTGTTGGCAGAGAAAGCAAATGGCATGTTTTTGCTTTCTGGTTAACTGGTTTACTGTGTTTCTCTAATTGTAAATGATATGCAAGGTATGCACCTTTTTACAACTGCTGCTATCATTTTAAAAATTCTTTCTTGTACTATTCTTGTACTTGATTGTACTACTAAAGTACTGAAGTTAGCAACGTTCAGTGGAAACAGTATATGTAAAGTATATGTAAAAATGGTTTATATATTTTAATTTTTATTAAAAGATGGAAAGTAATTTCATGCAGAGGTGACATTCATGACATTTGCCAAGACATGCACTATGTTTGAATAAAACAAACCACTGATAATACTGAAAATATTAAACTTTTGCACATAACACACAGTTTGTTCAACTGACATAAATAATGTGCAGCTGACTATTCAGACTTCTTTTTTTGTCCTGAATGACTGTAAAACAAAACAAAAAATGTTTAAGGAAAGATTTGAACATATATTATATTGACTTGATAGTGATCACCTAGAATGCCCTAGCATCGTAGTGACAAATTTTACATAGGCAGCCACTCGCTATTTCTTCAGAAAATGTAAATATTGATCTTAAAATTGATTTCACAATCCGTTGTGTAGAAATGTCTATTAATGAACAGCAGGTGGAGCCTTAACACTTGCCCTTTACTAGCTGCAGTCTGTTGGAAGATTTTGAAGTCCTATCTGCCATTTTCATATTAAATCTGAAGAAATGAGAATGGAACAAGTAATATGAATATATTTCTTAATAACCACTAAAAAATTGGCATCATAGATAGCAATGGGTATGACAAACACAAGTCTGACAATTTTCTTGATCTTCCTGGCAAACTCGCTGGCAGGCTTATTTAACAGACCGCAAAGGCAGACAAAAGGGGTTTCTTTTCCAAACAGAACTGTGTCATATTGAATCATCTCTGATCATAATATTACAATTCCAGGCATTTGCTCTAGAGAAATAATAGAATGTGGCCACTGACTGGCTTTTCAAATCAGTTTAAGGGTTTTTGAAATTTAAAAGCAACCCCAAAATCTATTCACTCGTCAAGGAATGCTTCAGAAAACCACAGACATGCCAGATTTGCAGTTGCAGTTAGCTGCCATCAGTGGCTTTCAGTTTTACATCTATCATCTTATCATTGGGTATGTGCTGATTCAGCACACATCCAGCTCTATTTTAAGATTTTTGGCCCACAATGATAAAGATAGCTGACACTCCTGTTGTGTAGCAAAGATGATATCTGTTAGTGGTTGACAGAGAATATAATTATTGTGGTCACATTTTTTTCCCCATGAGCCTGGATCTGAAAATACTTGTGGTATAATGAAGTCTGAAGTCTGTTTTTTTTTTTTTACTAGTAGAAAACAGGCCTGATATACAGTATTGTAGTTTGTGGTCTGTAAGATATTTTAATGTTTTCGAGAGAAAATGTAAATTATTCCTGTGATGGTAAAGCTGAATTTTCAGCATCATTACTCCAGTCTTAAGTGTCACGATCCTTCAGAAATCATTCTAATATGCTCATTTGGTGCTCGGTTATTATCAATTATTTTTGTAAAAACCAACAAACAACAACAAAAAAAAAGAAATATTTTTGTAACATACATATCTTCACTGTAACTTTTGACTCTCATAGTTTTTTGCTGCATGAGACAAGGTAAGTTAAAGGTAAAGTTAAAATACAACCACTTCCACAGTGTTATATATTTCTTTTAATTGTGTATTTCCATTATCCTAAATGTTTCCAAGAATTTGTAAATTCAGAGAAATTCACAATTTTAAAAGTGCCCGTCCCTGTTCACTTCTCGCCTATCAATGACGTAATATCCGCGTTATCACTAGATTCCGCTTGTACTACCATAGTAACCATGGCGACAGACGTGGACAACTGCGTAGTGCAAAGTCTAGCGGCACGCTGTTGTTGTTTCTTTCAAACATTATGGACCATGGAAAGCAGACTGGGACAAAAAGAGAACTAAAACGAGGATCAATATCAGCGTGGCGTTTTCGAGATGCCGAGAGCTCCGCCTCCGCGACTAATTGAACTTGACAGAGACTGCTCTTGCATGTAACTTAGCCTACTTTATAAGACAGGTGAGCAAATGTACATAAAACAAATCAATGAGCTCAACATGATGAAATGTTAGAATATGATCAGTATGTTAACGTTATTCTAATGTTGATCTAGCTCACTGCTAGTCTCATACAGCCAACAAACTAACACACAGAATAACATTATAACTTTCAACACACTCAAATGCTGTTTAGTATGATAGTGTAATGTGTTAGACCAAATGAAACAGCGCTGCGTTACCTCACAAGTTTAATTCTTTTAATTGTGAGTAACGTTAGTACTAATTCAGGACTTGCGGGTAGTTCGGTAGAATTAAATGTCCTTGTTCCTTTATATCCGCGGGACTCGCGTGTGATATCTGTCTCTTTAGCAATCGCGACGTGCTTCATACCACTGTAATGTTAAAAAACGTACTCGGTTACTAACGTAACCTCGGTTCTCTCTAGAGAGGGAACGAGTACTGCGTAATAGCTTACGCTAGGGGAAAAACTCTTTTCCACGAGATATTGAAGCCAAAAATTATCCTTAATTTTTTATTAATGTAAAACGCTTTGCAGCAGCAAGCAGACATAGGCGAAACAGCTCGCGCGCCTATTGGTTGCTCTGCAGCAAATGCAGCAGCCTATCGAGAGAGACTCTGCGTGACGTAATGACCAATGGGGGCAATTCGCGCCCATATCGTCACGTCCCGCCAGAAGGGGCGTGGTCTCACCCTATAAATATGCTCGTTAGGCTGGTACAAGCTGTTTTTTATCGCTGAAGCGAACCAGAGCGTATTCCAAGCACGGCAAGATACGCAGTACTCGTTCCCTCTCTAGAGAGAACCGAGGTTACGTTAGTAACCGAGTACGTTCTCTTACGAGAGTATCTCTCGTACTGCGTAATAGCTTACGCTAGGGGAACACAATGCAACACGCCGTGCGTACAGGGATCCAACACCAAAGTCCCGGGGGCCGAAGCCCAGGGCTCATGTAGTGCATAATCACCATAAACTCACATAGAGTGGAGGAAGAGAGGCTGGAAGCGTCATTCCCTATAAAAAAGCACCCAGCGGGGCTATCATATGACAATAAAACGCGCAGCCAGGGTGAAAGCTTTCAGCCTGATCTGGGTGGCCATACGTGTGTCAACACTCATGGGGCTGCAGTAAACTCAGCATCTGGGCCGCACAGCGGGGCAGATAGCACTGAATTTTAGACCGCCAAAAGCTTAGCTTGTAAGGCGGGTACCTCCAGGTTATAGTATTTTATAAATGTAGACGGCGAGGCCCAGCCCGCGGCCGTACAGATATCTTGCAGGGAAACCCCGCTCGACCACGCCCACGAAGAGGCCACGCCTCTCGTGGAGTGCGCTCTGACACCCAAGGGGCACTGTAGGCCCTTCGCAGAGTAAGCGAGCGCAATGGCATCCACTATCCATCTGGATAGGCTCTGTTTTGAGGCGGCGAGTCCCTTGGAACGCCCGCCAAACAAAACAAAAAGCTGCTCCGTCTGTCTGAAAACAGACGAGCGTGACACATAATAATAATAATAATAATAATAATTAATTTAACTTATAACGCACTTTACATCAATTCAATGACCTCAAAGTGCTACAATGCAAAACAGAATAAAAACAGAAACATTAAAATTATACTTTTAGCCACAAAAGGCTTTTCTAAAAAGATGGGTTTTGAGGCCTTTTTTAAAAGAGTCCACAGTCTGTGGGGCCCTTAGATGGACAGGGAGAGCATTCCAGAGACTGGGAGCAACTGAACAGAAGGCGCGGTCACCCACAGTACGAAGCCTTGTCCTCAAAGGCTGGAGGAGGTTGGCCTGTCCAGAGCGGAGATGACGTGATGAGGAAAGGGGGGTGATGAGTTGTTTGAGATATAGGGGGGCAGTGCCATGGAGGCACTGGTGAGACAGAAGGGAGACTTTGAACTCAATCCTGTACTGGACAGGAAGCCAATGGAGCGATTTGAGGATGGGAGTAATGTGGTGGTACTTCCGCACACCCATCAGGATCCTTGCCGCACAGTTCTGAATGTACTGCAGCTGCTTGATGTTCTTGCTTGGGATCCCGATGAGGAGTGCGTTGCAATAGTCCAGCCTGGAGGAAACAAAGGCATGGACAAGTTTTTCGGCATCGGGGAAAGTGAGCATTGGGCGGAGTTTTGCAATGTTCCTGAGATGAAAGAAGGAGGTTTTACAAAGATATTTAATCTGGGCCTCAAAGGTCAAGTGAGGGTCCATTCTAACACCAAGGTTTGTGACTGAGGATGAGAGGGGGATGTCATGACCAGAGAACGTGATGCTGGTGATGGTGGATGACCGGGTCTGGTGCGGAGTGCCAACAAGGATGGCTTCCGTTTTTGAGCTGTTGAGTTGTAGAAAGTTAGCAGCCATCCACGTCTTTATCTCCTCCAGGCAGGTTGAAAGTGTGGAAGGGGCTGCAGAGGGGTTTGGGTTTGTTTTGATGTAAATTTGGGTGTCATCAGCGTAGCAATGGAAAGATATTCCATGCCGGCTGATGACATGACCAAGGGGGAGCATGTACAGCGTGAAGAGGGTGGGGCCAAGGACTGATCCTTGAGGGACACCACAAGTGACAGAGTGTGTGTCCGATTTAGCAGCACCCAGGGCTACATACTCAGATCTGTCCGTGAGATATGATGTAAACCAGGCCAGAGCAATATCAGAGAGTCCAATGGAGGAGTGGAGGCGGTGTAAAAGAATATGGTGGTCCACGGTATCAAATGCTGCGGTGAGATCGAGAAGGATGAGAAGTGATGGAGAGCCAGCATCAGCCGTCATCAGCAGGTCATTGGTGACCCTGACCAAGGCAGTTTCCGTACTGTGGCCAGAGCGAAAACCAGACTGGAACTTCTCATAAAGACTGTTTGTTATTAGATGATTGTGAAGTTGAGCAGAGACTACCTTTTCCAGCACCTTTGACAGAAAAGGGAGGTTGGAGATGGGGCGGTAGTTGGCAGGTACTTCGGGGTCAAGGCAGGGCTTTTTGAGTATTGGCTTGATGACCGCGGTTTTCAGAGACTTAGGGA